ATACTTGCAACCTAATTTTTTGTTGGAAATTTCCAATTCCTCATATTTTTCTTTAAAGTTGTCATACTGTTGCAATGTCCAGCAGTCAGGAAGATTATTTTCAATTTTGGAGTCACCAATAATTGATTTGCTGCTTTCTCTAAATTCAAGTGGTGATGCTTGTGACTGTTTTGGATCATCCAAGACCTATTCTGTTGTATCTGGTTCCGATCTTGGTTTCTTGCTGAAAAAAGTGGTCAAACTCTGTTGCCTTTTCATCCTATTAAAGGCTACTACTGCAAAAGAAATAAAACAATGTTGTACTTTGGATTTGACTGTGTTTGCAGGTTAAGGCCTGTAGGTAATGGAAGGGATCTGTTTTCACCCAACAATATATACTCTGTTTTCATCCATTGCTGTGGACAATTTGTAATGTACAAATACAAATTGTCTGAAATGGTATAGGGTTTCCTGCCTGAGCAAGATGTTGCATTAAAAGACCTCCACACCAACATAGGACTCTCAGTGGACATCAGTAGCTAAATATGACCATAAGAAGCAGGTCCAAAGTAAAGTTCTGAGAATTAGTCCTTGTTTGTGCTGATCCATATCAGTGGTAAAAATAAAAGTTTAATAAAAGAACAGAACAAAAAGAAATTTAACAAGCATTTTGTGATTTGACTGAATTTGAATACTTAATAACACAGATTTGAATGATGTATTTGGTGGTCCTTGTTTATAAGCTTGATAGCAAGATATAACCCGCCCAATACCAAGGGCTGGAAGAAGTGGCTGCAAGATCTGAGAGACGCTGGAGATTCAGCCTGGCTGATTCTCTCCGCTGCAGCGCTTTCCGGATGGGACTTCTTACAGGTAAGAACCTTATCCAAACTGCTTTGGCCCCTGCGCCCACACTGCTCCCCACCACCCGTACTGCCACCCCATGGGCCGGATAAATTGCTTTGGCCTGGGGGCTGTAGTTTAAGGCCAGAAGGGGGTATATGGGTGCCATGTGGGCAGTGGCCACATTTTAAGGGCCGAACACCTTGCCGATATCCACACTCCCAGATATTTTACCTTCTTGGCTATTTGGAGCCCCATTGCTTTTTCAAGTGCTTTTTTTTGTTCCTCAGTCATATTTTTGGCCATATTTAATTTGGCCACAGAGCCAGGACTGGCGCATCCCCGACCTGAGGTGAAAGGCGAGTGGGCGGCATGTGGGTGGAGGCCCCGGGGAATGCCAGAGCCAGTGACTGATACATTCTCCAAGGTGAGGGGCAAGTGGGCGTCATGTGGGCAGGGGCCCTGGGGAAGGCCAGAGCCAAGGACTGGCATGTCCCCTAGGCCCTGACGCAAGGCGAAGAATGAGTGAGTGGCATTCAGGCAGAAGGATGGGAAGAGCCAGACCCGAAAGGCAACGAGCCTTGCCGTGTCCACCCTTAGACTGCAATTTTCCCATATTTTTATTTGTTCCTTCCACATTTTTATTGCTCCTTATCCAGCAGTATAGGGAAGCTGGCTTCCAATTTTGAGTTTTACCAGTTTATTCGCCAGTTGCGTCCCTTTCTGGATCGGGACTCCTTATGCACGGTCACTCAGGCACTCGTCACTTCCCGGCTGGACTATTGTAATGCTCTCTACATGGGGTTCCCCTTGAGGAGCACCCGGAGGCTCCAACTGGTGCAGAATGCGGCCGCGTGGGGGATTATGGGAGTGACGGGGCACTCCCATGTAAGGCCCCTCCTGCGTGAGCTGCATTGGCTCCCGGTGGTCTTCCGGGTGCACTTCAAGGTGTTGGTTACCACCTTTAAAGCACTCCATGGCTTAGGGCCTGGGTACTTACGGGACCGCCTTCTGCCACCGATAGCCTCCCATTGGCCAGTACACTCCCACAGAGAGGGACTCCTCAGGGTGCTGTCGGCCAGACAATGTCAGCTGGCAACCCCCAGGGGGAGGGCCTTCTCTGTGGCAGCACCTGTCCTCTGGAATGACCTGCCCCCGGAGATACATAGGATCCCTGATCTCCGTGCTTTTCGCCGTGCCCTTAAAACTTTTTTATTTCATCAAGCCGGGCTGGCTTAACCCCCCCACTTAGATATTTTTAATTGTTCATTTGATTTTAGTTGGGGTGTTTTAAATTATTGGGCCAAAATTTGTTTAATTCTTTCTTTAAAATATTATAAATTTTGTATCTGATGTTTTTATTCTTGGCTGTTCACCACCCTGAGTCCTGTGGGAGAAGGGCGGTATAAAAATCAAATCAAATAAATAAATAAATAAAAATAAATTCTCTTTAGTTTTCTATAAAAGTATGGCATTACTTTATTTTGGATGGCATTATTTTCTATTCGTATTTGGCAATATGACTCATTGTTTGCTCTATAGAGTTTTTTCTTCTACTGTGTTTCCCTGAAAATAAGACCTACCCCAAAATAAGCCCTACTTAAGCACCTGTGCAGCCGGCTGGCCATCCATTCCATCTGGTTGCTTGTGGTGCCACCAAGTTGAAGTGAGGTGAGGCAAGGGGGGTGGAGCTGCCCCACATGCACACCGGCTTACCTCAGGACCCTCACAGCGAGGCCATCCACACTCCGACAACTGCCTCGTGGTGGCAGCACCAGCAACCATTTACAGAGGGAGCCCATGTGGCCGCCAGGCAGGGGTGAAATGCTCCTGGTTCAGACCGGATTGCCCGATCCGGTAGCGATGGAGGCGGGTGGTTTGGAGAACCAGTAGCAAAAATCCCTGCCCCCCCCATTGCCCAGCTGAGTTGTGCAATCATCAGATTGCATTTCATCAGATACAAAAATGCATCATTTCTACAGCATTTTTTCTACAACCTCTTTGGCCAAAAAAAATGCTTTTAAAAGTAAAAAAAAAAAAAGCCTCTGATGATCACGTGGCTCAGCTGGGATCATCAGAGGCTTTAAAAAACATTTTTTCTACAACCTGTTCGGTTGAAGAGGTTATAGAAAAAATGTTTTTAAAAGGAAAAAAAGCCTCTGCCGATCAGGCACGTCAGCTGGGATCGTCAGAGGCTTTTTTTTTTTAAAAAAAAGAAAGCCTGTGCCAATCAGGCAAGTCAGCTGGGATCGTCAGAGGCTTTAAAAAAAGAAAAGAAAGCCTCTGCCGATCAGGCAAGTCAGCTAGGATCGTCAGAGGCTTTAAAAGCATTTTTTAAACAACCTCTTCAGCCGAAGAGTTGTAGAAAAAATGGTTTTAAAAGTTAAAAAAAAAACGTTGGCCATGCCCACTCAGTCATATTACCCCCACCACCAAGCCACGCCCACAGAACCGGTAGTAACAAATTTTACATTTCACCACTGCCGCCAGCCCACTTCTGCTTGTTCACGGCTGTAACAGCAGGAAGCCGAGCAATGCACCAGTGCCATAGCCACGAGGCAAGCCGGAGGGCAGCTGCCCCACGTGCCCTGTACCAGCTTAAGTCAGGGCTCCTATAGCCAGGCCATCCACACCCCAACAACTGCCTTACCTTGCAACAGTGGCTCTGGCAGCTCCATCCAACAAGACCCCACGTGGCCGCCAGTATGCATTTCTTCTGGCGCAGCATTGGAGCAAGAGGCTAAGCGATGTGCAGGTGCCACGACCACGAGGTGAGGCGGCGGGGGGGTGGAGCTGCTTCACATGCCTTGCCTCAGGCTTACCTCAGGGCCCCCTGCCCTAAAAACAACTGGGGAAGAATATATAGGAGAAATGTTGGTTGTAACTCTTAGGAAGTATTTGAAGAATAAATGTATTTCTATGATAATATTCTGTGGGAAGAAAAACAATTGGACATTAGAGACATATTTCAAAAGCAGGGTGAAATGGACATTTATCAAACAATATTCTGTAAAAGTGGTAGTAGCAATATAATTAAAATGAAACAATACATAATTTCTTTTATATCTCAATGTCAAATATTTGTTTTAGAAATCTAGTGAGATCAATATGAGAGATGAAAAATGACTATGTTCTCAAAATAATATGAATCAATTTTATTGCTGTCTACACTAACCCAATGAAATGTTTCTAGGACTGCTACATATATTTTTCTCCTCCAATTTATGGAAATAAAAGTTAGGAATTACTATGATAATCAAACATTTCTTACAAGTGGATTTTAGGTAGTATAGTATCACTGTGATTTATAGGGCTAAAAAAATAAAAGACTAAAGACCATTTTTCTATGTTCTATACTATTTTATATTATGAAATAGTTGACAATGTAAGAACTAATTTGTTCAATAGGTATTTCTCTTCTTTTGAAACAGAGAAACGGGCTAATTATATTTTTAAAGAAATCACCCATGATGCTTTTTGAAAGGTTAAGTGGAGTTTGTAAAGCAAATTCAGGTATCCCTTTAGACTGAAAATAATTCCTATGCACTCAGTGAAAATTATGCAAATTTGAAAGACACTAACTTTATTTTTCCCTTTTTAATTTATAATCATTCAATGAAAGTCATTATAAGTATGGCTGAAATAAATAGACCAAGAATGATTAATTATGGATAAATATTTCATATACTTTGGTTACAGCTTCAATAAAAATATCAGAAGTACCAATTAAAATACCTTCATCGCTATTGTCAAACGTTAAAACAACTGTATGAAAGGCCCATGAAAACAAATACGAGTCTGAATGTCATCCTAGAGAGAATGGTGCTGTATTAGTTACAGTGACAATTCCGTGTATAATACCATTGGAGAAAATGAAGTGACTATTTAACATAATCAAATATGGATTCAACCCTATTGCTCAGTTTAACATTTCCGAAGCCGAGTGCTGGAAGATGCGTCTTTTGAAAAGTTAACTTTTTGGCTTAACTTGGCTTTGCCACTATTTCCAGAAGTGTCCTTTTGAAGGTCTCTGACTAATTTTTAAATTTGCCAAGTTGTACAGTAATGATGCGATAAACGGGACCAGCTTTTGTTGGTGTACCAGAGTCAGTTGCTTAGAAACTCCAGGCGCTCTGGCATTTCCCCCGCCACCCGGGTTTGTGCGATGAGGTAATAGCTAAAGAGAGGAGGGAAGGGCCTATAAGCGAAGAGGCAAACCTGGGGCTCGCCTAACCGGTAAAGAAAGGATTGGTGGCATCTCCCTTGTTAATCTTTCTGGACGAAGGCCGTCTAAAGAGAAGAGGGTCCCCAGGCAACAGAAACGTCTTTCAGTATAGGATTCAAGAACAAACGTACGGAAAAGGTGACGCAGTTTTAAAGAGCGCTGTGAGAAACCTCCCCCCCTCCCCCAAGCTCAGTGCGTGGGATCCGTGCATGTAGCCTTCCAACAAACTTAAGACAGCGCCGCCTGCAACGGCGGGAAAACACTGGGTTTTATTTTTTCGCCTTACACGTGGAGCTGGTAGGCTACAAACAGCTCAAGCTGATCACTTGTTCGGCTAGAAAGTGATTCCGACCTTTTTGTTGTTCGATCCCCTTCTTTCTGAATAATTCTGGAGAGACCGCGCACTTCGAACTCAAACCGGAGGCAACGTCGAAACGAAGCGAGCAACGCGCCCTAGGGCAGAGGAGGAAGTAGTTAGTCACAAGCGCCGGCCCTGCCGCTCATGTGCTGCTCGATCCACCGCGTCTGCAGCGGGATCAATTTACACCAGCCGTGACAGCAGAGCAAGCTTCAGAGAAGGGCCGCTTGCAAATACGCCACCGTAGTTGCCGTTTAATGTCGGGCTGTTGCGGTGGCTGTTGCGTGACGTCTTGGGAAACCTGCGCTTGGTGAGTTTCTTTTAATTCGTTGGTGTTCAGGGCAGTTGCCTTGCTCAGAAGGTAGCAACCGATTTTATGTTTCTATCCCTGGCCGTGAGTTTGGTCAGCCCTTGTCCCCAGATCTTAGATATTCTTTCCTCGCTTTCACTGCTTTTCCTGGCAATCCAGGGAGGGCGAACGGAAGGACGATCTTGCTTGTTGCAGATGCGGCTATTCGACAGGCAAGTATGTTTTTAGATGTTCGGGAAGGTTTGAACCATCTTAATGAGGTTTTTGTTCGGAATGTGTCGCTCATGGCACACATAGGAATCTTCTCGTTTTTCCATGAACCTTGTTTGCACCGCATGACAGTCGGCTGACCTTCAGAGACTTGTTTGAAAATAAACGAAAATACCCCTGGATTGTACATGTTCTCTAGCAGTGCGTTTCTTCTCTTAATAAGCATAGTCTAGCTGAAGTTTGTTTGAACAAAAATTAGCTTGCATGTGAATTTGTGAATTATTTACATCACTGGCCTTTTATATATTAAAAACCGTTTTCTTAACCTTAGAAGCTTCCAATTGTTACTGGTAAGGATGATAGTAATATAGAAACATAAGAAATTGCTTACTTATATGTGCATAGATATATGTGAAATAATTGTAACTCATCAGAAGTACAATTAAAGTATTTTGGTCTGTGTATTCACATGACCTTGAAAATATCTATCTTTGATTTTAATAATATATATAAAATTCATGAATTGCTTAAAAGGCAAACATTTAAATTCTTCTTCAATGAATCTGTTTAAAGCTCTAGTGTTGAATGTATTTTATCAATTGAAACCTTGCTTAGATTCAAGAGGCCTTTAAAATTGCAATCAATGAGATGCTGGAACTGTCTAATATGTGAGGATGCTCTAGACATTGTTAAGATATCCTATAGTTTAAAATAATTTTGTTTAGAGTAAGTCAGTTGCTTCTGCAAAAATCTTAAAAACAGCAAATGAACTGAAATGATGTGTTGAACGCTAGATACTTTTATGCAGAAATAACCAGTTCAGTAGAACTAACTTCTGAATAAAGCTCTCGAGATTTGTGGTCTAGAAAGTGGTATAATTATAGGTTTTAACTATTTATTAAGCAAGCTAACTATTTTTTTCTCAGAAATCTCTTCTCCAGGTTAGTATTTGAGATACATTTGTTTTAACAGTTAGCTGACATCTCATATATATATTGGCAAGAAAATGCCGGGATAGACTGTGTACTCTGTTATTATTGTTTCACATTGTTCTCCATGGATTGGCTAGGCCTGTGAAGGACAGCGAAAATCAGCTTATAAAATGAAACGTTTATCTTTGTATGGTCTGTATATATCTGTAATAAAATCATTTGAGTCAGGTGGGTTCCAAATCTCGTCGCTACTGGTTCGCTCGTGTGCGCGCTCGCACACACATGGCGCTTTTGTCTAGGCAGGTGGGTGGAGCCTCACGCCACTGCCACTACCGGTTCGCCCGATGCGGTGCGAACCAGTAACAATCCACCACTGATTTGAGAGTGACATGAATATTGGAATAGTAGCCAAGATGAGGTAACAGCTTTACTACATCCATATTATTACTGTATTGCTTATACAGTAATAGTATGCCTGTATATGTAGAAATTGTCCAAAAAAATTCTTAACAATGTGATCCTGTTACTCAAAAACACCCTATCATTGGAATTATATGTGGGATAATGGATTCAATGTATTAAATTTGTTTTCAGAAATTCAGCTATATGTTTTGTAATGTTAGAAATATAAGAAATATGACAATTATTCACACATACACATTTCATGAATAAGCTCTGAAGATTTGAATAGCAGACAGATTAAAACAGTTTGTTTTAATATATGCACACAGATAATGTATGAAAATAAGAAATAATGATAATTAATATTTCTTAAATAGGTAAAATGCATGGTCCCTAACATGTTTTTGTAAAGACATATTTATTTGTAAAATTTATTGGTCATATGTTCTGCCATTATATTTAGATTGGCCACTTTCTTATCGTTTGTCATTGAAAGCTGAAATGCTTATTTACAGATTCAATGTATTTTTGTATTATATTACATTAGCTAATTTTTCTGCTTCCTTCTGTGCTTGTTGTTAACTAATAACAGATATGATCTGTCTCTTGATAGACATTTTAACAGAGATATCATGTTTCCTTGTGATAATTGAAATGCAGGTGAAAGATCCCCAAATACAGTACTATAATGGTCTTGAAACTATTTTGCTCAATTAAAATCATGGGTTACAACTGATATTTAAATTTAGATCTGGTACTTATATTTGTGAGTTTATTAATTCTGAGGGTCGTTTGAGATGTTCTTTATGGTCTGGAAGAATTTTGCCAACTATTTCTTTGAATGAAATGAACACTGTGCTTAAAACTGTGAGTACGAGTTTTCCTTTCTAGTTTGGCTGAGCAACTTATGACCCTCCTAATGTTGCTGAATTCCCAGTATCCCTCAACATTGTCTATTGCTGCTAGAAATTGTGGTTCATTATTAGGAAACAGGATTGTCCATTTCTTCTAGAATAATTTCTAGTACTGAAGAATTTTCATTAAATTTTGCATTAGATCACATATCATGTGTTTCTATTTGGTTGAGTAGAAAGTTTTGTTTTTATTAAAAACTATATCAAAGTAAGATTTTTAAAACAATTTCCCATGTATAGAAGAGGAGAAGAATGATCTTACTCTTGTACCACAGGTAACTATCGGATGTGTGGGGGCAATAAAATATGTATCATAGTATAAAATGTGATACATCTACATGTGTCAGGTTGGGACACAAGAACTTAATGTCAGAATTGACATCATGGTGTCTTATTATTTTAACTGTGCTACTGTTTTTAGCTACCCCAGTTTGCTGTGGGTGCTTATGTCATTAATTTTGAAAGCAAATCCTTTTCTTTTGTATATACCCAAAAGGCATAAACATAAAATGGAAGCAATTGAGAATCAGCTAGGAAATTAACTCTGTTTGAGGTTGCTTCTTGACCTACCTTGATTTTCATAGTATAAGCTACCCATTTTAATATTTATAAACTAGCCTGTTTCCTCAAAAATAAGACCTCTCCGGATAATAAACCCAGTCAGGCTTTTGAGCGCATGCACTAAAATAAGCCCTCACCTGAAAATAAGCCAGTCCTGCCATTTCCTCTGGTTGCTTGCCGCACAAAAAACAAGAGGTGAGCAGGTGAGCTGGAGGGGGGAACATGCCCCATGCCCTTACCTAACAGCCACTCCTGCAACCCAACCACCACGCCCCTTCTGTCACGCTAATGGCTGCCTCAAAAAGCATTAGCGAAGAACAGGGAGGCAACGCCAGTGAAATCCAGTCACAGCAGCAAGACCGGGCCAACGGCATGGTGCAGAGTCCTGGCTGGAAGCACATGCACGGCCTCAGGGGTGAACAGCTGATGAGCAGCTCTGTCAGCAGCAGCTACGAGGTGATCACGCTCATCGCCTCCTGCACCTCAAAAATAATAAGACCTCCCTGAAAATAAGGCTAAGCGCTTATTTTGGGGGTCAAAAGAAAATAAGACCCTGTCTTATTTTCAGGAAAACATAGTAGTATAAGATAGTTATTAATCCATAGTGAACTGTGGTTAAGACTAGTTAATTTAAAATAAGGTACCAACTATGCTTAAGATGATTCTCTTTAACCAACCTAGCCTTTTAAATATTTGAATCAATATTAAAATCAGGTTATAACATCATGTGGAAGGAGGACATGGAGTACTATGATGTCTTTTGTGCTGTCTAAAGCACTTTATGAGTAGATCTGTTACAGTAATTAATGCCAGGAGTTAGTCAAATTATACTCAAAATTATCCAGCATTCTTGAATGAGAACTTGAGGCAGGTTTCCTGAAATCTCATAAGATTTGCTATTCTTGGCACACTTGGGGCAAGTGGGTAGACACTTAGATACTTATGACAGACTTGTATTCTGAAAATAGTGCCAGAAAAAAGTAACACTAAGATTCCTAAACTGTGTTTTAACAATATTGTACGTGGAAATATATACTACGAGAAAGCTGTTTCAGTTTTGACGTATTAATAAATTTAGGGTAATAGTAAACAGAATTATTGATGAAATACTGGCTGATAAGTATGAATTTTAAAAGATAATGGGAACTTTTTGGCAAATTCATTGTACCTACAAATAATTTGCTTCATAATGTAGTTTTTGTATTATTAACTTCCTTACTTAAACAGCATTATAGCCAGACATAAATTTTAACTTATTATTCTCAAAGAAAAACTTATGTTTTAGAAGAAAAATAAAATAAAATAATTGTTAGTTTTCCTTGTTATAAAATAAGCCACAAAATCTTTCTCTCCACCTTTTTCTTATCCCTGAAAAAATAATTTCAGATGCTGTTGTTATCAAAACAGAGGACAGAGGTCACAAAGAAGAGCTGCATTCCTTTTGGAACCTTAGATCTTATAGAGTATAACTTTTCTTTTAAAAAAAGCAAAGAAAAGGACCAACATTTCAAAAACATTCAAACAACTGAATGTATTCACTAGACATGTAATATTAATAGCTGCTTGGAAAAGGGAAAATTAAGGAAGAATAGCATAAGCTGGCCACCTGGCAACCTTCCACTAAGAATTGAGAATATATTGTAATGTTAAGCCAAACAGCCAAGAGAAGAATAGCAACTTGGGTAAATAAATAGCAATCATAGCCAAATTGGCCAGGAAAAAAAATGAAAAATCTATACTGCCTTCAATAGTTTCTCCAAAATTACACAAAATGATACGCCAACAAGCTTTTGAATTTTCCAAACTGTTAGACAAGAACACATGTATGTACACAGAGAATTCTTTTGTATCAGGAATAGACCAACTATAGTCCCAGAATTTTTAAAGTGCTAAGAATACCTTAAACCAGTGGTCCCCAACCCCCGGTCCGCGGACTGGTGCCGGGCCATGGAGTACCTGGCACCGGGCCGCGCAGCGGCCGGGGGACATGAACGCTGCAGCGCAAAGGCTCCTGGGCCGTGCGCAATGGGCCGTGCGCAAAAGCTCCTGGGCCGTGCCCCCACCCCTGCGCGCGCTCAGCGGGCCGCGGCGATAAAAAGGTTGGGGACCACTGCCTTAAACTACAACTGCTGAAAATCAGCAGCATGGTTTCTCACTATTTTGAGGATAATAAACAAAGATAACATAATGCTT